ATGTTGTTGAGTTAAAATATATCTATACATCTAATATGACAGTTTATAAGCATTGACAACATAGTTAAAGGATGATGTACTTACTTTCGTGATGTTGGGAAAAAGTGAATCTCTAGCTCGCGGCGTCCGCAGAGTATAGCCCCGCCTACGGAGACGCTGATTGGTCAATTCTTGGTTGCTGCGGGAGCAATTCTTGGTAGCAATATGGGCGCTGATTGGCCAGAGCTCTCAATTCTTGGTAGAATCTTGGTAGCAGACGTGAACGTGATTGGCTGTCGCTACCAAGAATGAGCTCGACTCACAGGCGACCGGGAGCATCCTTGGGCAAGACACTTTACCCGCATTTGCTCCTGTGGGTAATGTCCACAGTAATGACTCTTACATGTCTAATATGTGTAATGTGTATTTTTTAAAACGCTTTGAGCACCTGTAAAAGCGCTCTAATAAAAAATGTAATCCATTATTATTATTATAAATCAATTGAGTGAAAATGAAGGCTATTAAAAAGTATTAAACAGCATTTTCCAAGGTATTACATTTTGTAGCTTGTTTTCAATAAGTATATCAATTGTCCAAAGAGGTTGTATTCTACAGTCTGCCTGAATGTAATCATTGCGTAGGTGTGTAGTGTGATTCTGTGTAGTTTATTTATGGCATCCCGTTGGATTTGACGTCATCTGAACAGGACATCGCACGCTCACTGCTTGGTCCGTTTACGCCGGTTGTTAAACAACATCGTTATGGGGAAATGCAAGTCTGCGTCCAAATGGTTGGAAGATAAGGAGGAAGGACAATCAATACTGTATATAGTCAATGTGAGGTAAAGTGTGTCGCCAATGTAACCAGTTAAAACTCAGTGGCGATGAGGTCTTCAAATGTATGGAAAGGGTCTTAAAAAAGGTCTTGAAAGGGATTAAATGTAACTTCAGGATTCCTGCGTATACCCTGTGTCTCTAGTTAATTGTATCAAAGTCAAAGTTAACTTTATTGTCAAGCTTTCAGTTTGTGTGTACAGACAGAGAGATCCAAATACCCTTTCCCACAATCCCGAATACAAAAACACATATATAAAAATATGTGTGCAATAAAGGCATCGGATCCAGTTCTTCCTCTGTTCTAACGTTAGTCTTCTCTGCATCACAACAGAATGAGCAGCTCCTGCAGGACGTTGACTTCTACCGCGGGGAGCTGGAGCAGAAACAGCCGTCGCCGTCCAGAGACGAGAGCGCAGAGACGCAGAGGAAACTCAACCTGGCCAACCGGCAGCTCTACCAGTGCCTGGAAGACCTTCAGGTACCTGGAAATCTGTTAAACCATCTGGGGGTTATTTAAACACACCATTATCTTTGAAAGCCTGCCAATAGTACTATGCGTTAGACTTTGGAATTATCCTTTAAGGGGAAAATGTGTCCAAACTGCTGCAAACAAGCAAAATCAGGGACGTTTGCAATTACTAATACACCTCTCCTGCCAAATATCTCTTTGGCTCTACATGTGTTTTTCCACACATTAAGTTAATCCAATTATTTGATTTCCATTAGCGAACGGAAGATGACAACGCACACCTGAAGACGCAGAACGAGCAGATGCAGAAAAGTCTGGAGGAGTCGGTGAGGGAGATGGAGAAGATGACGGACGAGTACAACAAGATGAAGATCGTTGTGCAGCAGACCGACTCCATCATGGACCAGCTCAGGAAAGACAGGGATCATTCAAAGCTGCAGGTAGAGAACCAATTGAATTGACTGCATTTTGTTTTCTCAAGCTGCAGGTGTTGACTTTCAAGCTAACACTTTGACTTTAGCCTCACAGTAGTACATGAGGCTGCTAATCTGTGAAACAAAATCTTCCTCTGCCTTCTCCAAATGCTCTTTATGGCCTTTACAAGATTCCAGCTCACTCCATGGAAAACAACCAATCACAGCCAAGGAGATTTTAGTGTCAAGCACGGCTCATAAACTCTGTTCAAACTGTCCAGCGCTGATCAAGAGCGCTATTTTTAGGCAATAGCATAGGTCTCAGATATATACAAAAATATAAAAATCATGTCTATGAAGTGTTTTGCTCAAAATACCAAACAGATCACCCATTCTAGCCATGCCTCATATCCCTCTATTTCACTTCCTGTTTCAAAAGTGCTGATTTGGGGTGTAAAGCTTAAAAAAGAAAAAAGGAGGGGGCTGAGCTCATTCGGGACCCGGCAGCTACTGTCTAAACTAAATACTGCCGTGATGAAACGCCATATCATGGATTATCAAGGATTATCTCTGAAACAGTATGGAGCTCAAAGGCTTTCTCTCTTGCCGGTTATACCACAAGGTGAGTTCTTTTTTACTTCCTGCTTCTTCACACACATGCTCTCCAGTACAGGTTAGCTCTGAGTGTTAACGATGCTAATGTAAACACCGACCATATTACGTCCAAAACAGTCGGGCATTGTTTCTGATAGCAACGTTTCTGATAGGGCCGTGGGTCCACATTTCAGATATTACGTCATATCGGACGCAAATCTGGATCAGCTCCGTTGTTCCCCCGTTTTTAGAGATTTGGGTACGGAGGAAAAGAGAGAGGGTTTTATT